AAAACTGGATTAAATATGCCAAATTCGAAGAAAGTCAGGGGGAACTTCAAAGGTAAATGTACATCTTTTTAATTACATTTATTTTAAATATTATTACCTGAGTATTATTAATTGTCAAATATACTTTGTCCTGCTTTTTGTTTATCAAGAATTTATTTTATTTTTCTTATTATTGCTAATTTGTCATTCAATTTGTCTAAGTTTCTAGTTCTATGTTTCTCTATTTGTATTATAGTTATTTTAGCCCTAACTGCCATTGACTTTTTTTAATTAGCTAATCTCTCGACACTGAATTAATTCTTAATTTTTATGCTTGCCTATGAAATTATAGCATTCATTAACATTTCCCGTTACCATTTTTCTAGAGTTATTTATTGTTTTTTTTAACATTTTATTTTGTTAAGCTGATACAATACGGACAATGTCTAGTTCCCAAAATTTTTCACTGATTGATAGGTGGCTGGATTTGGTGTTTCTATTTTCCAATGCTTGAATTGTAGCTTGGCTGACAACTTTTAATATTCCACCTCTTCATTCAGCTTTCTCAGTAACTTTCAAGGTTTTTCGTATTCGAATACCCTTTCATTCAAAGGCTTTCATTGCGTACTACATAAATTATATGTTGTCATTATTATCTCGAAAGGTATCCAAGATGAAATATTAGGACTAGCTTCAAACTGTTATATGCAACATGTTTAAATTTACTTACCTTTTCGCTTGTGCAGTTATAGGACATGCTTTCATTCGACTTTTATTGATTCATTCGCACTTAAAACTTACCATAAACTACAAGAATTTAACTGTTTACAAAAAAATAAGATAAGCCGCGCAAAAATGTTCATACTAATTTTAGAAGTTCGCATTTTCTTTATTTTGTCTAACTCTATTATATTTAATTGCTCCCAATTTCTCTAAATTCATTTTATTTATCTTGATGCTTTCTTTCAATGGCATTTTTATCAATACTTCAATGGTATTTGATTTTGTCCTTTCATTAATTTCTATCCCATTATTTTTATGCTTAATTTGACTCAAGACTTTTTACTAACTTCAATTTATCTCCCGACCTACTTAGCACCGATAATCTTTTTTCTAGTCCTTTAAGCCAAGGTGAGTTTCCTCTTCAAAATAGACTTCTGTTTAGACATCGCTCATGTCTTTACGTTCTTTTTTAGCAGTCTAACTTAATTTGCTGCTTGGTTATTGAATTCTAAAGCTATTAGCATTTTTGCTTGGACCTTATCTGCATTTCTGTCATCTCCCTCAACATTATCGCTTTCTTACGAGTTTATTAATGATATTCCAAAATTTATTTTATTTTTTTACTTTTAGATCTAGATCCGTTTATGAGCGTGCTCTCGACACTGATTACCGCAATATTGGTTTGTGGCTTAAATATGCCGAAATGGAAATGCGTCACAAGCAGATCAATCATGCTCGCAACCTTTGGGATAGAGCAGTAACTCTAATGCCTCGCGCAAACCAGTTTTGGTTTAAGTATGTCTACATGGAAGAAGCATTGCATAATGTCGCTGGTGCCCGACAAGTATTCGAAAGATGGATGGAATGGCAACCAGAAGAGCAAGCTTGGCATGCATATATAAATTTTGAGTTACGCTATAAAGAGTTGGATCAGGCTCGTCTTATCTATGAAAGATTCGTTCTCGTTCATCCAGAATCAAGGAATTGGATTAAATATGCTAAATTTGAAGAAAGAAATGGATTTCTTCCGTCATCAAGGCGTATATTTGAACGTGCTGTGGAATTCTTTGGTGTTGATAATCCTCAGAGTAAATTGTTGATTGAATTCGCTAAGTTTGAGGAAAGACAGAAAGAAGTGAGATATTCTACCTTCGTTTATTTTCTAATTTGTTTTTATCTTTTCATATATATATCCATGCCATTAATTTCTTTTTCATGCTTTAGCACGAAAGGGCAAGAGTCATCTATAAATACGCTTTGAATAATCTACCTAAAGATGATCGCCAAGAAATTTATAAAGCATATACCATACATGAAAAAAAGTTTGGTGATAAATTTGCCATTGAAGATGTCATCCTCAGTAAACGAACGTTCCAGTATGAAGGAGTAGGTCCCTTCATTTTACCATTTGTAACCATTCTATGATAGGTGATATCATTTGTGTCTCTTAAATGTATATGCCTCGAACCATTGACATTTTTTTCTTAGTTTCCATTCGATTTTATCGAGTTTAACACCCTTATATAGGAAATTCAAGTCAATCCACACAATTACGATGTTTGGTTTGACTATGTACGACTCATGGAAGAAGAAGCTTCTGTGGACGCTACTCGAGAGGTCTATGAACGCGCTGTTTCTTTTGTACCCCCTATTAAGGTAATCCCTGCTCTACTCTTCTAATATTCACTACTTTATTTATTTCCTCTAACCAGATCACTTTATGCATTCCTTGGCCTGCCCAGAAATTATTTATCTATTTGGACAAGCCTTATTTTATTGTCGTTTCTTCTGTCAAAATAGCAGGATTTCATATGCATCTCTAAAGGTTCACAAATGTTCCTGAAGCTTTCGTTTTGAAACAGCTCAATAATACGCTGTTGAATTACGGTTTTTTCCAGTATCATTATTGCATCGTTGAGTTGACAAACTGGCAATGCAGGGGAATTTCTCAGGAATTTGCTGACAGGTGAAAGGTTGCCATTAATATGAAGTAATTATGGATAACCAATGCGACATAAATATTGAAGAGCCATTCATGCACTGTATGGGACAAGACTGCAAATGAAAGTGATGGTCTCATATCTCCTTGATACATCATGTAAGAAAGCTTAAAAGCCTCGATCATCGATATATTATGAAGTCCATTTAAAGCTTCGAAAGATTCTGTAAACGCAATATGAGGACTAAATTTTATTCGCGCAAATTGGTAGCTTCTATTGCTAAGCTGCCCATAATTCATCTATAGATGTGCATCAGGAATAGCATTGTCATTACTTGGCTCTTAAAAATAAAGGCTCCTGAAGAATTGTATAACAGATTCACTTTTGAAAATTATTGTTGGACAAGAACTACACTCGGGCTTAGTCATCAGTTATGGACCTCCTTTAAACAAGCTGAGTACTTAGATGAGAGAAACATTTTGCTATTCAAGGGAGTTTAACTCAGATTGTTTGACTTCGATTTGCATGAGTGTTATCAAAAAGCGAACTCATTTTTGGATAAAAATCTTTGTAACCAAAGGCTTTTAAGATTTATTTCCATGGTCATGCAATTTAATTTACATATAAACTTAGATATGGATAAGAAGTCTCAGCCTTTTTCGTTTCCACCACCTAGTTTATTTTGTTTTACTTCTTCCGGTAGGAGAAACGCTATTGGAGACGTTATATCTATCTTTGGATTAATTATGCCCTCTATGAAGAACTCTCATCACAAGATATAGATCGAACTCGTCAGATATACCATGTAGTCTTGGATCTGGTCCCTCATACATGTTTCACATTTGCGAAACTTTGGCTCTATGCCTCCAAATTCGAGATTCGTCAGAAGCAATTGACAACTGCCAGAAAACTTTTGGTTCGTTTTTTTTCTTGTGTTCTTGTATAGCTTCGTTCACCTGTCTATTACTTATTACTTTTAAATGTATTTATACATCCTTCACTTAAATCACTATCTTATATTGCATCAGCTTATTTTATTGACATTTTGCATGTCACTTTTTTAGGGTTGTGCTTTGGGCAAATGCCCTAAAGACAAACTTTTTCGCGGCTATATTGAACTGGAAATACAACTTCGAGAGTTTGATCGATGCAGGAGACTGTATGAAAAATTCCTAGAATTCGCTCCAGAAAATTGCACCACATGGATGCGGGTGAGCGTTTTCTCGTTATTTTTACTTATATTTGGCACACTTGTTTATATTCCAAATTCTAACAAGTTTACTACGAACACATTTTAGATATACTAGAATTAATGAATATTGTTTGACCTTGTTTTTGCAACTCGGTCATATCGGTAGGAAGACTTAGAGGAATGCACCTTGTCCGGAGTCCATTGTATGCATAATCATTTCCAAAGTCGGATAGTGGACGTGGTACATTCCCAGACGCTTCGCCGGCATTGTCAGTGAGTTTTGCCATCGTAGCACCATATTACAACTCATCAAAGAGACAAGTGAAGCCGATCCTTTAACCAAACGTGTGCTAAACGGTTATGGTATCTCCTATTCTGCCCTGGCCTATTCACATTTTACTTGCTTAATTAAATGTGGTACGGTGTGCCCTTTTTTTTAAAGTGGCTTTTATGAGAACCCTCCACACACCACGATGGCCTTCATCCACCACCACTCTTCATCCTTGTACTGGCAATGTTGATCAGTCTGCCATATTTTTACGCAGTCCTCCTTCCTTAGGTCTTACCACATGCCTCTGAGTAAGTCTCATGGTCGGGCCCTTGTCACATGGACCACGTCTCTTGTAAAACCTACTGTCAACCCACTAGCTCCCATTGCCGCCGCGTCTATCCTGTTTCCTATCTCTAATACCAAGTCTATGACTTCCCATGCCCTAGTTTTTGTGTGCCAACCCACAAATGTTGTGGTACTGCTTGCTTTGACTAGGTTTAATGTTGAACCACAACGTTTTGGGGTTGGCACACAAGAGACTAGATAGAGGATAGAAACAATAGAAGTTAGAGCTGGTTGGCTAGCAATAGTCGTGATACAAGAATCACTTATATGATCAAACACGACTATTTTTAGCCAAATATCTTTAGTCTCCACCGCGTCTTTCCTATTCCCATCTGTGATACCATGTCCATCACTACCTTCGTCCTAGTCTCTTGTCCTATCGTCGTCTGTAACAGTTATGGTATCTCCCCTTCTGCCCTGGCCTCTTCACATTTCCTATATCCTCCTATCACACCTTCACTGTGACCATTTTTTACTTGCTTAATTTGATATGGTACGGTGTACCCTTTTAAGCGGCTTTCATGAGAA